GGGAGGAGATGGCGGGGGTTCCCAGGCCGAGCTGTGCCGTTGCCCTGCGAGGACCGGGCCTCTCGTTTTCCGTGTGCCCGGGTGGGCAGTGCGGGGCCCCAGGGCAGGAACCCGCGGGTTCTGTTTTCTCTCCGAGCTGTGAATCGCTGTGTTCCCTGCGGGGGCAGCGCCTCAGGACGGCCCTTCTCTGTTCTCAGTGTTCACCCTGAAGGAGAGGTGTCTGCAGGTTGTTCGCAGCCTGGTCAAACCGGGGGACTACAGGAAGCTGGACATTGTTCAGTCGTTGTATGAAGACCTGGAGGATCATCCTGACGTGAAGAAGGATCTCCAGCGGCTTTCTCTGGAGAGGAGTGAGACGCTGAGCAACGGAATCCTGGAATAACATGGTTACTCATTCTGGACTCTTTAAAGAGCAGCCTGCTGAGTTTGAGCAGGGACAGTTGCCACAAAACAGGCCAAGAACTCGTGCCTGTATTTTCAGTCCTGAAACGTAAGTTCAGCTCAGTCACAGAAAACTTGCTCTGGTGATAAGTCGTATCCAAAAGACTAAACACGTAGAAGCACGGCAGGCAGGTGGTTCAGTTCTGCTCGTGCTTACACACACTGCAGACTGCTGCAGACTCCTGAGGCCTCGTGCAGATGACACTCAGAGAACTTCTGTTTGGACCAGCTCAGAACACTGCACAGGGGTAGAAGGTCTGGTCACCTGTTTGGTGAACACTCACAAAGATTAGCTTTCACTGCTTTATAAAGTAAGTTACCTGAGGATTCATTTAATCCAGACTCTAATGGTGATGAGTGGCAGACTAAAGCTAGTTTTGCTTGACTAATTTGTTTTTGATGGAATTTCACACTTAGCCTGTGAACCACAAAGTTTGGGGGTTGTTTGTGTGTGTGAGGGTTTCCACCACGCTGAGGATCTGGCCTGAAGAGGTATGTTGGTGGAAAGGTGGCATGCCTAAATGTTTGGGGTTTTCTCTGCCTCTTACCATTGCAGTTATAAACCAGTGTGTTGTTAACTCTGAGGCTGACACGTTTTTACACAGATCATACCTGGAATACCTTATCTGTCCATCATAATTGTGTTCTTGCTTAGTTGAGCTTAAGGTGATGAACCTGGTCAGTCGTGTGTACTGGATCCTAGTTCTGGGGCACCTTTATGTTCTGCAGCTGCTTCCCCAGCTTTCCATGCAGGCACATCATGGAGGGTAAATGCTCCCTCTCCTACCTTTTCCTGTCGCAATGCAGTAGTTCAAATCACAGTGAGAGACCTTTTTGGGGAGTGTGGACCACTCAAGTTGCTAGTGTGGGTCAGCTTATTTAGGCCTACTGCTAGATCCAGCTCACAGACAGATCTGTGCTTTATTACAGGCTAGATAAGCAGAGAAACACTTCTGTGCCTATATTTTGTTTCCTCTACTTCAGGATGTGTATTTGTGTGGATGTACAGAGGGACACATGTAACTGGAGGCAGCATTGCTTTTGGCAGGTGTCTGAGTTGTCCACCAAGTGACAGATGCAGTGCTGGTCAGTGTTAGGCAGGCTGGTAGGGACCTATAGGAGGTCATTTCTATGGTATATGTTTCTTTCCAGTTCTATGTTCTAAGAAACACATCTGTGAAACTGACTGAGAATATCAACATATTCTGTAAGTCTGAAATGTCTCCCCTTTTTCTGGACTTGGTTTTTGTATATATTTGAAGTGTATGAATTGATTTTTGTCATAAAAATGTGAATCTGTACTTTTTTTTTTAATCAGTTTCTGTCAAAATAACTTCACAGTGCTTGTGACTGAATGCTTGTATTCCTGCAGTACTCCTGGAAGCTGTCCTAGCTGATCAGTAACAGGTCCTTCTGGATTGAGTTTAGAACCTGTTGCAGCCCCTGTTGCTGCAGGACTGGGTTGTGGCCAGCACTGACTTGTCAGCACAGCTTCAGGCAGGTGAGCACAGCTGTGTTGTTGCTGCTGCTGCTACCACTGTTGGCAGGTCTCTGTCAGGGGGAAGCAAGCCTGTGCAGGCCTGGGGAGCAGACACCAGAGTCACACAGCTCCCAGGAGCTAGCCCTTCAGTTAGAGGGTGCTGCACTGTTCTCCTGCAGTGGGATCCTGGGAGGAATTTCTCTCCCAGTGTCCTTGTGGTGCTGTGTGTCAGGTGAACGTGGCAGTACTGCCAGCCAGGTGCAGACAGCTGACCTGCTTGACTCCAGTTTTTCTTGTAACGTAGTAGGTATTAGGTTAAACAGGTCTGTGCATGCCACAAACATTCGGTATGTTTCTGATTTATGTGGGGTCTGTGATCTTGTATGTTGCTTATTAGAATAATTTAAATTTATTCCGTTATTTATTCCATTCCTGTGACTTCTTGCAGTTCTACAGCCAGTTGGTGATACTTTCCTAGTGCAGCCTTTGTCACAGCTAAAGGACCGGATCCTGTGGCTTCCTGCATGTTGGAGGACAGAAAAGCACACTTACATAGCTGTGACTGGTCAAAAACAAACATAAGGAACTGCCTCACAATGTCATGGCTCATAGGAATATTGTTGTGTTGTCAGTTGCATCTGCTGAATTCCAAGGCAACTTAAATCCTTAGCTAAAGAGCAGCTCCTGATAGGCAGCAACTAGTTGTGGATGTTTTGTGTTGATTTTGATTGGCTCAGCCCATTTTCTAAGGGACATTTTCTGTCCACTCTTTCGAAGATTGAGTTGAGGGTGGTTTGTCAGCACATAGAAATGAGCTGCAGGTCTGTCAGTCCCCAGGCTGACAAAGGTTTACCCACCACCCCACCTCATGAGAGTGCACCCGAAGCAGGGAGCTTGTGTTGTTCCTCAGTGACTGCTCAACTCAAATTGCATAAAGATGCAGAAACAGTTGTCAGGGTACAGACTATAGTTCAACTATGTCCTGTCGTCTGTAGTCACATATCTGCACAGTCTCTCTACCACTTTTCCCTCCTCAATGTCTGTTTTAAAAGTGAAATTAACTTAATTCTTTTGAAGTCTGCATGCAGTTACAACAGAACCCCAAGTAGAAGGTGGCATTTCCCCAAATCCTCAAGGTGGCAGATGCCTCATTCGCAGCACAGAGGCCAGACAGGGACTTCTGGACTCCACGTCAGGAACCTGTCTCCAAGTTGGGCACTGTAGCATCTAATTTTTAGTACTCAAGTACATTATTTGTATCTAGCTTGACAGCAGTAGCTGACAGCAGTAGCACAGCCCCTAAGTAAGAGGTACTTTATTTTTAAAATAACAGTTGCTTCTTGCTTAATGGGCTTAATGCAAGAGGCAACCCATGCTTGAAATCTTACACTTTCCCTAGGCAAGAGAACAGAGGAAATTCTGTTTCCATTTTGCAGAGGAAATTGAGTTTTCCAAAGTTGAGCAAGAAGTCTGGGAAAGGAAGGGGCTGAATGCAAATACAAAGTCTGATGCAGAACCCTGTTGACCAGGAAATATATCTCATCAGTGGAGACGTTTTCTTGTGCTGTGAATTCTGTGACTACGTAGCTCGTTTTAGCTCTCACATACCGTCTTAAGTTTTGCAAGTGTTGATTTTCCTGTTGACAAATCATGAGATACCTCTTTTTTTCCATGCATCAGGCTTACAGACTTAGCAACTTCCTGTCTAAGATGAGGAGCACTTAAGAACTTTTCTCAAAAGTAGGTGGCAAGGTTTTGTTTTTTCAGCCCACTGAGTCACACCTAAGGCAACGTTTGACCCACTTAGCAGGGCCTGGCTGAAGTGTTACAGGTCTTGTTGTTTCTGTCTCGTCTTTTTAACCCACGCGGCAGCGGTCATGGGTCTTGACGTTGTAGCTACGTTAGTGCCACATTGTTCACATGGGGGTGAGAAACTCTTAGTAGGAGATCGGGTGGAGATTCTGTGCTGTGAGGGTGGTGAGAGCCTGGCCCAGGCTGCCCAGGGAAGCTGTGGCTGCCCCATCCCTGGGGGTGCTGAAGGGCAGGTTGGATGGGGCTTGGAGCAGCCTGGGCTGGTGGGAGGTGTCCCTGCCCATGCAGGGGTGGGACTGGAGGGGTTTAAGGTCCCTCCACCCCCAGCGCTGTGCTCTGTGTGCCGCGGGAGGGAGGAGCGACCCGCGCCCGTGGGAAGGCCGGGCCGGGCCCCGGGGCCTGTCCTGACGTCAGGGCGGAGCAGGAAGCGCGGCCGCCCGGGGCGCTGGGG